GTCATGTGGCTTGCAGTGCTCCGTCTCAGCAGATCCCAGCTTAGCTCAGCCGTTCATGGATTGTTGTTGCGTAGCCGAACTCATCTTGGCGTGGCTTAGCCTATCATTGTCGCTCTTACCTTTGCTCAGCTGACCTTTCCCCCAGCTCTGCCGCGTTGACTTTATCCGTATGCTTGCCTGACTTGGCTGTTTGTCGTTTCGCTTTCTTGGCTTAGCTTAGCCCGATGTCGCATAGCTTCTTGTAGCTTCGCATAATTACTTACATGTTCTTTGCCTAGCTCAGTGCCTGCTTTGTGGTCAGGTTTTGTTTTAGCTGCCTATGCAATGAGGCCCATATACAGCTATGAAGCTATGTGTGTAGCTTTGTGCTCAAGTTCGGATTTCGGCTTCTGTTTCAGACGCAGCTTCATCATCAGCTTGTGCTTGGATTTTAGGTTCAGCTTCATCTTCGGTTCTAGCCTCAGCTCAAAGTGTGGTTTCGGTTCAGTATTCCGCTTTAGTCGTAGTTTCATCACCAATTTGTTGTCGAGGCTCAGATCCAGCTTCAGCTTAGCTTTCTTCCGCGCCTGGAATTCGAACTTTGGCTTATGCTCCAGCTTCATCTCCAGCTCCGGCTTCGTTGGTAAAAGAGTTCTCTAACACCGACATTAAATTCTGCGCTTCCGCCCAGTTTCGCTTATTTTGGATCAAGAGGTTCTGCTTGCACAACTTAGCTCAGTTTCACATCGCGGTCTGGATCTGCTCAGCTTTGCTGAGCTGCGCGCCGCGTGGCCGATCTTGTACGCGGTTCGTAACAGCGCGTATTCCATCTTCGGTTCCTTCGGGCTATTCGGTTTCGTTTGATGTAGTCTGATTTGGCTGGCTAGCTCAGGTTTGCCTGATCTTCCGCGTGAAGCTGCGCATTCGGCTTCGCTCAGCTCAGCTCAGGTTCTTAGCCTAGCTGATCCAATCATAGCTTGATTTCGCAGATGTAGACCTAGCCTAGCTTTCATTTTGCCAGCGTCTTGGATTCCAGCTTTGGAGTGCCAGCCTCGCATTTCGCAGCGCGGCTCGTCTCAACTTGGCCCGTATTTTATTGTTTTCGGCTCGTCCATCTTATCTCGGAATGCCCAACTCAAGCTTATCGGGCATCCACCTTGCTCACCCGAAGACCTGCGTGACTGCTATTCCGCGGTCGCTTAGCTCACTGTGGCTTCGCTTGGCCGAGATTCGAGCATGATCTTGAATGTCAGCGTCCCATCCTATCGTAGCCCAGCGCAACCTAGCTTAACTTTTCGTTTGCCCGTTTTGTTTTGTCGGTCCATTTAGCTGTTCGACTTGGTATGGCAGTGCTTGGCCCACCAGAATCCGTCTTATATCAGGAGTTATATGTTCAAGCAATCTAGCAGTCTTCGTCGTCGGCCTGTGTCGCCACCACGCTTGGGTCGTGTACAAAACTACGTCAGGACCTGGTGGCAGCATGGAACACAACCGGGGACGCGTGCGACGCCCGCGCGTGCTCCCACGACATCCTTTCCTTTGTGCAGGGCTCCCGGGTGCCGGGCTACCCCCCCCCCCCGCAGGCGCAGAGCTCCTGCACCCAAGACCACGCGGTGCTTGAATTTTTTGGGGCTTCTGTAAACTTAGGAGCCAATTTCTGGAGCGTCCAGGAGCGCTCGAAGAGCCATGGACGGGTCTCCTTACAGAGTCAAGGACACTTACCTCCCCCAGCGCAGAGGCTTCGGCATGGGGGCATTCCACATCGTGCCTCTCGATACGGTGGCGGATCGCAGATCAGCAAAGGCTCGCGCTGCGGAGGTTAGTTCAGTTGGGTTTAGCGTAGTTCGTTGTATGGGTATTTTGTTTTGTGTGGCGTATCCTGGGTTCGCCAGGCTGATTGTCACACGGCTTGCATCGGAAAGCTCAGACAATGCCATCTCATCTTAGTTGATACGAGGAACCAGACTCGCTGGTAATTGCCCAGAACTGCTTAGCTTAGCTGGGTTCGCCCCTGGCAGAACTCATATTGTTGCACATCCTGGTAACACACTAGTGTACATGTCTGTATGCATGTCGGAAAGCATGTATCTATGTTTGCATGCATGTGTGCATGTATGTGCGCATGGTTGTAGGTATGCATGCACGTATGTATGCATGTATATATGCATGCATTCATGTATGTATTTACGCAAGTCTGTATGCATGCATGTCTGTATGTGTCTATACATGCATGCATGCATGCATGCACGCATGCATGTTCAGATGCATGCATGTATGGATGCATGCATGTATGTATATATATATGCACATATGCAGGCGTATGTATGTATATGCACATCTGTGTATACATGTATGCCTGCATGCATGATTGCTTTTTAAGTCGTATGTATATGTGCATGCATGCATGCATGCATGCATGCATGCATGCATGTACGAGTGTATGTATGGATATATTCGTGTATGCGTGAACTAGGTATGTGTGTATGTGTGTATGCACGCATGTGTGCATGTAGGTATGTATGTATGTATCTATCTATGCATGTATGTATGTCGGCATGCATGCCTGTCTGTGTGTCTGTCTGTCTGTGCATATATGTCTGTGTAATGCTGTCTGTCTGTCTGTATCTATGTATGCATGCATCTATGCATATTCATATGCAGTATCGTGTGTCTTTCTGCTTGGCTGTATGCATGTATGTACGTATCTATGCATGCATGCATGCATGTACGCATGCATGCATGCATGCATGCATGCATGCATATATTTATGTGTGTATGCATGTATGTATGTGTGTACATACATGTACTTGTGTATGTATGCATGCATGTATGCATGCATGCATGTCTGTATGCATGTGTGCATGCATGCATGCATGCAATTATGCGTGCTGGTATGTATGCATGTGTGCATGTATGCATGCCTGTCTGTCTGTCTGTCTGTCTGTCTGTCTGTCTGACTGTCTGTCTGTATGTCTGTATGTCTTTATGTCTGTATGCATATCTGTGCTCATGTCTGTATGTCTGTATGCTTGTATGTCTGTATGTCTTTGTGTCCGTGTGTATGCATGCATGCATGTATGTCTATATGTTTATGTTTTTTATGTTTTTATATTTTCCTCTCTCTTTCTCTCGATACATATATATATATATACACACTATGTATATGTGTGTATTGTAGTGGCCTCCAGCCAGTGCCGCCGATCTGGGGCGTTCCCGACGCTGTCGAATACATCGGCGACGAGGATGACGACCATCGACGAGGACCGACGACATCGACGCGGACGACTGACGACGACGATGCACAATTCACGGCGAGCGATGACCGACGACTGACGACCAGCGACGACGACCGATGACGACGACGATGTGGAACGACTAACGACGCGGGCCGGGGCTGGGGCCGTGGCCGAGGCCCGGGCCGGAGCTGGGGCTGGGGGCGGGGCCAGGGCCAGGGCCAGGAGGGCTGGGATATCGGAGCTGTGGACCAGGCTGGGGCCCAGGCTGGGGCCGCGGCTGGGGCTGTGGAGGCCGGGATCGGGGCTGGGGCTAGGGCCAAGGGCACCGGCCGGGACCGGTGCCGCGGCCCCGGCCCCGACCTCGGCTCCGGCCCCGGCCTGGCCCAGGCCCAAGCCCAAGCCTTGGCTCTGGACCCAGCCCTGGCCCAAGCCTGGGCCCCGGCCCCGGCTCCAGCCCTGGCCGAGGCCTCCCCCCCCCCCGAAAGCGCTGCACGGCCCCCCTCCTTTCCAGAGCGGAGCTTAAATGAAATTCAAGCCCGCATTTTCTGAAACTTTCACGCCCGACCCGGGCCCCAGCCCAGGGTTCCCTCCCTCGGAAAGCGCTGCACGCCCCCCCCCACCTCTCCAGAGCGGAGCTTAAGCGAAGCTCAAGCCCACGCTCTATGAAACTCACTCGCCGGATTGGCGTATGTTTATAAGTGTTTAGATATATGTATATGATCTGATCTGAGCCCGTAAATCCATCGACAGCTTACCCCGCCCGGTTGAGCTGTTACAGCTTGATCTGGTTTGATATTGGCAAGTTCGGTTCTGCGTAGAAGAGCAGCACTTTCTTGGGGTATCACGTGCTTGGGCTAGAGCAACAACATCATGTATTCTCGCTTAGCTTCGCTCAACTGGGATGCCGCTTGGCTTCGGATAGTTTCGCTTCGCCCACAACTGCGTTGCGCATTGTGGCTTTAACTTGGCGGTGTCGGCCCAGCACGAGCTAAGCTTATATTAGCGTGGCCTGTTGTGTACCAATTCTGCTCAGCCTTGCTGCAGCGGGGTAGGATTCAGTTTAGCCTGTACAGGCTTGTGTTGGACGACTGTAGCTTGGCTCAGGATGGTGGACCTCAGCGGATGTCAGCGGGTCTTCGCACAGCTGAGCGTACCCCAGCTCAGCACTTTTCATTTCCGATTGGAGACCAGCGACCAAACGAACGGGCCGCTACACTTTAGCCATGGTGGTCTCCTCTTGGGCTACCTTGGGGCCATCCAGAGGCGCCATGAGCTTGTAGGCACAACAAAAAAGGACCGCGAACGTCACTGGCATCGCATTCGCAGAATTTCCTGATCTGTGATTTTGATTTCTCGGGGGCATCCTTGGTAGGCTTGGGAGGGGGGGACAGTTCAGAACCATACTTGGGCATTCTCAGAGGCAGTTGAAAGCGTGCTAGGGGTTGTCTTGGGCCAGCTTGGGCCATCTTGTGCAACACTGGGAGCACTGGTGGGCTATTTGAGGCCCTACGATATTTCACACGACCCCAGGTCCCGTGGTCCAGCTCCCCAGGGAAGTGGCAGGGATGGCAAGCCTTTAAATGGTGCGAGAACTGGGCTGTTTGGGAAGAGCTTGCACTCATAACCACCCGCCCTTACAAGGACTGGTGGACTTGTACCATCGTGGCGCCAGGTGATGTGCGCCATGCCCCTCTTCAAGACCACCAGGTTCTGTGTCATCGCCCCTTGCTCGTCCCCCGTGCCCCGTGCTCTTTCTGTGCCGCCCCTCGCCACCTCCTCGCCCAGACGCTGCCTGCGGACATCATCCTCGTCAGGAAGTTCTACAAGAGAAACAGGCACAAACGTGGCTGGAAGGTGAAGCGCTTGCAGCGGGACAACGCGGACGTCGGGCCCGCGGAGGTGCTGCCGTCTCACATTGGGTGCGTGTCAGGGCAGGCGGGTCAGGCTAGTGTCAGGGTTGTTACTGTTCATGCCTCCGCATATCAGAATGACGAGGAGGCGTTCGGCATGTTCGGCTGGAGGTCAACGTGAGGTATTGGCACACCTAGCCCTCCTGGAAAGCTGCCGCTGTGGGGATGATCCGTGCCTGCTTCATGCTTGATCTTCTGCGGTCACGCCGCTTTCGAAGAAAGGGTTACTCGGCGCGCGCCGTTTCATTTCTTCTGGCCCAGCGCACCTCCAGGGAATGCGACGCTTTGTCTCCCTCCGCGCCTTCGGGCCGCAGCCCTTTCCGCGAATAGTGTCCAGAAGGCACAGCGCCGCCTGCCAGACGTCCACTCTCTGGGGTGCCACTTGTTCAAGTCGCTGTGGTCGAGTCGAAGGCGAAGCGTGGGCACCGGGACGAACGTTCCCCATACCGTTGCAGCAAGCAGTTAGGAACTACACCACGCAGATGGTGCCAAATTGACTGCGACGCATTCGTCGTTCCGTACACAGTTGCACCACACATATTGCACATCGAGAGTGCAATAACCTACTGTTTGTGGTCCACGCTGGCAAAAGTGGGCTAAGATTTTGCAACTATATACGCATCTATGTGCATGTTCTCGGTCACCTGTGTAGACTTGCGGGCCCCGTGATCTGACGCCGTCGATGCTCACGCCTCGAAGTCTGGGCACGGCCACGCAAAGGCCCTGAAAGACATCCGTTCGTCTGAGGCCATAGCAGATGCTCCTTCGATCCGTTGACCAGGCCCAGCTCGCGGAGTGAGGATTGGCGGCCGATGCACCAGCCGGAAACGTCGAGGATCGAATGGGTCGATGGGGACCTGGGTCGCACGCTTTTTGACGTCACTGCGGGACCGCGTCGTCCACCTCCGTGCGCCTGACGGTGCACGGCGCGAAGTGCCATCAGTCAGTTCGGATTCAAGTTCCGTTCGGAGCAACTCTTCGCCGCCATTCTTCACAGTCCCTGTCACACCTGCCAGATCCCGGTCCCGTCCTCTTGTCTCTGCTTCTCCTGCAGCCTTCAGTCCGAACTGCGGGTGCCATGCTACGAAGAAGCAAGTTGCAGTGTACTCGACACAGTCCTTTCGACACGTAGTGGTCAGCAAGAGCGTGCGATGGAAGATCCACCAGGTGGTAGATGATGCAGCAGACATGGAGGCCATGCTGCAGGACTTAGAGGAGGATCCTGAGCTCCGGAAGGGCGTGAACATGTACAGGGCGCCTCTTCCGCACTGCTTTCGAGAGCAGAAGGGTTTGATTGACAGAGGTACGAGGAGTATTTTGGCAGAGGGTTGCAAATCTGTTCGGGCCCACTAGAACTCAAGCCATGCACAGTGTTGCGTGCATTGCAGTCTTGTGCTGTGTACACAACAAGAAGAACACAGCGCGAACCTATTTAACGTAGGGGGGCTTTGAAGACAGTGTTATGGTCCCACGAGCAGCTGTTTAGACGGTGAAGACTGCACGCGTGCATGATGCACAACTGGAGCGAAGTTGATATTTGGCACGAGAGTGGTTCGTCTGATGCCAGGAGCTGACAAGCATTTCCTTCTGGGTGTGCCTGGGAGAGTCTTGCTCGTGAAGTCGTTCCAGAGTGGCTTCATACCTTCGACTGTGTGTAATCACTGAGGGCTTGTGCATTGAAGTGCACATGCGTGCAAGCGCGTGCGATCATGCATGCGCGCAAATGCGCATGACTGTTCACTCTGGCGCACGAGTTTCGAGAACTTGACAACGTAGTCGCAGGGAGATTGCCAGGACGCTCAGGGGGCGGACGAGCCAGCCTTCAAGAGATCCGCTCGTGCTCTGCATTAGCGAAGCCACGATGCGGTTGGGAGCGCGGGGGTGCTGCAGCCTCGGGGGCGGGGGGTGTCTGGCGGGGCTTGTGCGTGGGTGGCCTTGCGTGATGACGACGGCTTACGAGGGGACGGGGGATCGTACCAACCTCAGAGGCTGCCGCACCCTTCCTGGAACCTGTTTCTAGCCATTTTACGGTCGCGTGGCCGCCGGTCGCCAAAGCGTGCACCGTCGACGGCGCTGCTGTCAGCACCGTGGCCAAGGGCAAGGGGGGCAAGGTAGGTATCTATGGACTTCCAGATTTCAATCTACTTTCGGCGCCTTTCTACTTCAAGGGCTGAGTTGTTTGCCCTCTTCCCTCCTCTTCGGAGGGCGGGCGGAAACCTCGTCATGGTTCTACCTACTTCTTCCGACCGTCGGGTGTGGTGCAAGAAGAGGAATTATGGGCCGAGCCAGGAGGGTACAGGGAGGTCGATAGGCCGTGGCCAAGGCATCGGTTCAGTCGTGTGTTTTGTTGTCAGGAGCAGGTGGCATTGACACCTGCTTCTAAGGAGTACAGCGCAGTTCAGTGTGTTAGCCCAGTGCGTGTAAACCCCGCTCAGCTCCGCGTACGGCGCGCAGCCTGTGTCGGGCCTTTGTTGCACACCTACGCCGATTTTGTAGGGCTTAGGGGGACGCACGCGCGCTGGCGCCAGTAAACGTGCCCAGACCGCCGACGCCGTGGCTTGCTCGTGATGTGGACCCCCCGTGAGGTCTCGACCCCTTCCCCGGGACGCTCTCTTGCAACCGCTGACGCGTTATCCACGCGGTCGCCGCGACGCGCCCGCCCCGCACGCGCGAGCTCGCGCCCTTCCCTGGGACTGCTTCTTCATCTCGGGTCGTTTTCTGAAGGTCCCAGGGCCCAGCGAGGTCCCCCAGAGGCCGACAGCAACCGAAAACCTTCCGTCGTTTTTTTTGAACGACGCGAGGGGGCTTGATTTCTGAGGATCAGCGAGGATGGCAGAGCGCTCAGTCCATTTCGATCCGATCGATCTGATTCGATGTCGATTCCGGCTGTTCCGATTCGACTTGATTCCGATATTCCGACGATCCGATGCGGCCCGACATTTGCTTGGCGCTGTGGTGCATCTTGGCGCAGACGATCCGATTTCGATTTCGATTCCGTGCCGATGCAGCCCGATCCGATGCACATCGATTCGATCCGATTTTCGGCTTTGATACTGACTGATCCTGGAGCGGAGAGACCACCCTCCCATGGTCCGCGGGCGACATGTGTGCAACATACCGCTGTGGTGCCCCTCTCGGGACGTCGTCGGCTCCCGACCCAGGAACTGCGCGCGGCGCAGAGATATTTTTCCGGCCCTCCAATCCGAACATTCGGATTCACGAAGGTGAAGCGATGTTGGACGCTCAATTCCCCCTCCTCGCTCCAGGTCGCGCGCGAGCGTGCGCCACGCAGCGTTGTATGCCGCCAGGTGTTCACAAGCCACGCACCGCACCGCGCTGGAGCGGGACGGAAGGGAGTCCGGGCACGGTGCGGTGCACGGGCGCCGCCCTCGCACAGTTGGCGGCCTCTCCCCCCCGCGGCGCTCGGCCCCCTCGCGGCCTCGGGCCCCTCCGAGCGACGCGCGCAAAACGAGGCCCGACTGCGCCGACCTTCGCGCGCGAGCCCCCCGCGCGAGGTCGCGCGCGAGCGCCCTCGTCTCCGCTGTGGCGTGCCGCGCCGCGCCGGCCCACGCAGGCCGCCGCGGAAGGTCGCCATGTCGTTTCGCGCAAGGCCCGTGTCTTGTTCGTTTCTCCTCCGCCGCGTTCCCCTTCGTTTCGTCTCGTTCCCTCTGATGGGCCTGTCTCCCACCACCACCATCAGTTGGAGGGGGAGGGGTCCTCCTCCTCCTCCTCCTCCTCCTCCTCCTCCTCGTCCTCCTCGTCCTCCACCTCCTCCTCCTCCTCCTCGTCCTCCACCTCCTTCTCCCCTCCAATTTATGGTGGTGGTGGTGGTGGTGGTGGTGGTGGTGGTGGTGGTGGTAGACAACAAGCCCATCACTCCTTTCGTTTAGTTTCGTTTCCTTGCCTTTCCGCTATGTCCTCTCGCGCTGGGCCCCTCTCCCCTCTCCGCCGCGGGGGCCCCAGGCTCCCGTCGGCAAGGCGGCCGCCCCCGCCCCGGACGCGGGCACCGGCGACCAGGCCGACGGCGAGGGCGACGACGAGGACGCCGGGCGGGCGCAAGCGGAGGCAGGGAGCGGTCACTGCTCAAGAGTCGGCGGCGAGCGAGGGGGGAGGTGAGAAGGGGCGGGCCTACTCAGAAGGCTCGGAAGTCCCCCAGCCTTCCGAGAGGTTTTCGAAGCCTTCCAGGAAGACACAGAGCAAACTTCTCGGAAGGCGCGAGGGCTTCTGAGACGTCACGCCCGCCGCCGCCTTCTGAGAAGGCCTTGTCCTTCTCCCCCCCCCCCTCCTCCTCGTCCGGCGAAGCCTGGCATAGACCTGGCAGTCATGCCCTCAGCCTTTAGCCTCTTCCTCCTCCTCCTCCTCGTCGTCGTCGTCCTCCTCCTCCTCCTCCTTCTCGCCCGCCTCCTCTTCCTCCTCATCAATCATTGATTCATTCATTCGTTCATGCTCAGGCGAAGATGGTTGATGCCTGTACGGGGTGGGATGCAGAGAAAAGGAAAAGATAAAGGGAGAGAGCAGCAAGCAGCATTTGCAGCTGCCTCGGTCTCCACGACGGACTACTGCCACGGGCGCACGAAAAGGGAATCGGGCCTTGAAAAAGGGGGGAGGAAAAGACGAGACCTTCGTCCGTGTGTAGGGTACTGTCAAAGACGAGCCGCGGCAGGGCCGCCGCGCCCGAGCGGTACTGTTCTTGAGAGAGAACGGACTCTGGCGTTGCTCGTGAGCACGGCACACCTTCCCGCACGGGCCCTTCCCCCCCTTATAGAGGAAACCGAATTTGAGCAGCAGTCGGGGGTGAGCAGAGGGAACAGGGACAGTCCTAGGTCGGCACAGTTGGGCGCGACCTCCGCCGGTGTACTGCACAACCTGACCCTGCAACTGTGTACACACAAGGATCCTGAGGGGTGCAAAACTTGCGTAGCCCGAATGGCAATGACCAATCATCTCTTGGAAAGCCCAGGTCAACAATCTCCCTAAGCTTCGTCTCTCTGGAAAGGGATCAACAAAGAGGCCCTCGGGAAGGTTGGCCCGTGGGTAACTGAATGCATCGGCCGCCAAGGATCGGCCAACGTTGCCAAGCCTCCTGAGGCATTGTGGACGCGAGGAGATCACAAAGACCCGAGGGTAACAAAAGAGGCTTAGCAGGGCCCAGCGGGTGATCTGAAGTGAGGCCGCCAAGGGCTCCATGTCCCTGGAGATGATTGCAAAAGGGTCCGTCCTGCATCGAGTCGAGCCGTGGTGAAAGGGACGGGGTGTGGACGGCCAACAAAGAGGTAGGACGACAAGCACTGGCACCAAATCTGCATATATGAAGAGTACGCAGGCTCACATGCGGCTGTGCTGAGAGCGCTCGTACTTCTTGCAGCGCCCATGCGCTTGGGGGGCAGGAATCCGATCAGTCTGGGCCGGGTGTACCAGAATGGCAGGTACTTGGTGAATCCACGCTTCGTGCAGAAAGGTAAGAGCCGTGCGAAAGAGCTGGTTAGCCTGAGAGACCTTCTGGTTTTCTCTGTCACTCAGGTGTCCAAGTCCCCATAGATGGCCCTGCGAGCGCTGTGGCCTGTTCCTCGGATTGGACCATCTCTTGCTAGGGGGGCCCATGAGCGACCCCAGCTACCCGCTCCTCCTCCTCCTCCTCCTCCTTTTCCTCCTCCTCCTCCTCGTCCTCCTCCTCCTCCTCCTCCTCCTCCTCCTCCTCCTCCTCCCCCGCCTCCTCTTCCTCCTCCTCCTCCTCCTCCTCCTCCTCGTCCTTCTCCTCCTCCTCGTCCTCCTTCTCCTCCTCCTCCTCCTCCTCCTCCTCCTTGTCCTCCTCCTCCTCCTCCTCCTTCTCCCCCCCACCCTCCTCCTCCTCCTCCTCATCCTCCTCCTCCTCCTCCTCCCCTCCTTCTCCTCCTCCTCCTCCTCCTCCTCCTCCTCCTCCTCCTCCTCCTCCTCCTCCTCCTCCTCCTCCTCCTCCTCCTCCTCCTCCTCCTCCCCCCCTCCCCCTCCTCCTCCCCCTCCCCCCCCTCCTCCGTCTCCTCCTCCTCCTCCTCCTCCTTCTCCTCCTCCTCAATCCCCCCCCTCGCTCGCCGCCAAACGATGTTTCCAACCGATTTCAGTAGCATGCTGGGTTCCCGGGTTTCCGGTTCCGTGTTCCCGGGTTCCCGGTTATTGTTTCCTGGCCGATTTCGGTGGGTTCTGGGCTCCTGGGATCCTTGGTTCCTGATCCATCTCCTCAGCGAAAACCATCCACATATTGTTTTGTCTCAGGTGTTTTTGTGTGTGAGCTGGGGAGTTTTTGCCTTCGAGGCACATGTCTGTGACGAAGAACACTCGTCGAGCGGTTGGGATCTCTGTCGGCGCCGCCCCAACGCACTGATATTATGTGTACATTGACACCGACGGGGCGACGGGCGCGCCGAGAACTCTTATACTATACGCTCCGTGGTGGGCGATTTCTGGCTGCACCGCTCGGGAAGCGATATGCTACAGGTTGGATGTATCACCTGCTCGGGTCGGACGCACGCCTCCGAGGAAGACGCGTGAGCGACGCAAACGCCAGTCAGTGGATGATTTGAACACTACTACTATGGATCTTGAGATCGATTGTGAGATCGATCATGAGATCGATCGTGTAACCGATAGTGAGGACGATTGTAAGGTCGATCGTGAGACCGAGAATGACATCGATTCAATGAGATCGATAGTGAGGCCGATCGCGAGATCGCTCATGCGATCTCTAGTGAGATCGCTTGTGAGATCAATTGTGAGATCGATGGTGAGATCGATAGAGAAGTGGATAATGAGATCGATGGTGAGACCGATCGATCGACCAGGAACCCGGCAACCCGGGAACCTCGCCGCCCTCCGAAATCGGCCCGGAATCCGGAACCGGGAATCCTGGAACCCAGCGTGCGACCAAACTCGGCAGGATGTTTTCGCCATATTTTTAAACTTCCGCGATGACCCCTTCAGTGCAACCATTGATTGGGGAAAACGAGGTCGTCTGCGCCGACATTGGAGCGTAAGCTGTCCGCGTATGGTCGCGCGTAAGCGCCCTCGTCTCCAATATGGCGTGCCGCGCTGGCGGCCTGCGTAAACCGCCGCGTAAGGTCGCGTTGGCCATCTCGCGTGCAATCCGTTTCTGTTCGTCGCTCACGTAGTACTAGTATGTCCTTCTGCGTCCCACCTGGTGCCGGGGACTGAAGCACATTATATCTCGTCGGATGTCCGGGACAACAACGGGCCCAAGCCGGCCTGAACGCCTCGGGGGCCGTGTTTTTTTCGGGCAGGCCTTCTGCCAGCCTCACGCTGCATCGTCGGGGGACCTCGCATGTCCTCAAATCAATGTTATGTTTTTTCCTGTGCCTGACGCGGGTTCAATGCGGATTCTACGCGGATTTTCTTATGCCCGACGCGGGTTCGATGCGGATCCTGTGCGGATTTAAAGTGGATTCGGCGCGGATCCTACGAGTTCGACATGGGTTCGACGTGGATAGCATCGCGATAAGACAGAAGGTCCCCCGAAGATGCAGCATAAACGGTTCTCCCTTCCGACGTCGCCTCTGGCAGATTCGACTACACGTAAGAGTGATCCTTCGCCAGAGTGACCTTTGGTGCGGGCTTGTCGGGGTCCTGCCGATCGTTGAAAGCGATGCGATAGCGGCTGCTTGCGCGCTTTGACTTGGCCATCTTGCGCCCGCTTAGTCCGCTAACCAGAGGTCACTCTTGCCCAGGGTCACTCTTGCGTGTGGACGACAGATGTTCGAGAGCGTCGTTTCACGTTGGGTGCCGTGCCACGAGTCATTGCCGCTCGAGCGTTCGCCGATGCGTGATCGTCCCGCGGCCTCCGGACGGCCTGGTGGCCCCGCCAAGGCGCCCAGAGCCCGAGGGGGGAGGACGAGAGTTTGGAAACATCGTGGGGGCCGAGCGCCTACATGTCCGCACGCTAGGTCCTCGAATTCTGGCCTCGGGGTCTGGCTCGAAACGATTCGGCCACGCGCAGAGGGGGGGGAGGGGGAGGGGGGGGAAGGCTTCTTGGAAGCACCCCTGCTTCTTAGAAGGAGCGGGCCTCGTCTGCAGGCGTACGGCCGGCGCCCTCCAAGACGCAGCCTCCTTCTAAGAAGCCTTCCCTCCTCCCCCCTACCCCTCGGTGCGCGCCGTCACACGACGGCCAGAGCCGGCCAGGACCAGAGCAAGTGGAGAGATTCCTAGCTCGCAGGCGCGCAAGGACATAGGGCAAGCATTTCGTTTCTGCGCCTCCCCTCGAGCCTTCGTCTGCGCGAGGTGGAGCGTTGCAGCTGGCGCTAGGGTTAGGAACAACCCCAGCCTTGGAGGGTTGCCTGCATCTCCTTCGTGCTTCCTTGCGGGAATCCCCGCTTAGCAGGGCGGAGCCACGTGTCGAGCTCGCCCGCTGGCCAGCCCTTGCGCGCGCCGAGGCTTGCCCCTTGCGGTCAGGGGCGTCAGGCGGGGGTAGGCTCAGGGGGGGAACGTACCCCCCGGTGGCCCATTCATCGCCGATGGGGGCCTGATAGCCAGCCCCGCCCAGGAACGTACGGTTTCGCTACCTGGGGCCTATCGCCGATCTATCGGCGACGTATCGCCGATTCAAGCTCGATGTTTTCCGCCCCTGGGCCTGTCCCCCCACCCCCTATCCTTCTTACCCGCACGGCCCAGGTGGACCAGGCTGGCCATCGGGGCGTCGCGCTCGCCCGCGCCAAGCCGGCCACGCGCGAGAGCGATCATTCGCCAGGGTGTCCTTTGTGCGCGGCTTTCAGGGAGGAGGGGGGGTGAGCTGAGCTAGGTGCGCTGGCGTCACATCTGACGTCCTACCCCGTCCCTCCCATCCCTTCCCATGGCGTAGATCTCCTATCTATTCCCACCGTCGGATGTTGAGCAGGGCAACGATCCCAATATGGTGGGGTAGGGCTGGGCCCGAGCTCTCCTGCCTCGTCGCGCCGAGCCCCAAGCGATGCTGCACTCTGTATTGCGGCTGCTGCGCTCGGGAAGTGCTGCGAACTGCACCTCCTGCGCCACGGGCACGCGAGACTCCAGGCAGCCATGATCAGGCCTGCGGTCGGGAACTTTGGCTTAGCGTGTGGGGCCGCCAGTTCTGGCCCACCACGCTTCGGCGCGACCACGTCTGGGTCTCCAAGCGTCAGCGTCCCAGGAAGGGGGGGGGTTCTGGCGCCGATCCCAACTAATCGCGCGGAGCTCTCACAGTTTATGTTCATGCCGTTGTTCTCTTCCGCTTGAGCCCACAAGACAGCCAGAATCGTTAGGGAGGTTGCCTCGCCGAGGGTCCTCGTGGTCTGGGTCTTGGCCGCCTCGGGCGGGTCGTAGGTGGACATGTTGGGGCACAGGGTGGGCAGACAGACCTCACCAGCATCGCAAGCCCGACGGCAGCTGGACGATTGAGTTCATGACGCCAGCACTGCTTTTACTGTGATCCGACTTCTGTCTGCGAAGCCGACTCGGCGCGAGTAGATGGGCTGCCCCTGTTTTGGGGAGGCTTCTCCGCCCCTCCAGGGAGCAGGACCAAGGAGCAAACTTATTCCGCCACCCAGAGATCGAGTCCAGAGATTTGTTGGTTTGCTCTGGCTTGTCTTCGCTCGCCCTCTGTCTCCTGCCCGGGGAAAAGGTTACCCCGCCACCCCTGGATTCTAAGCGGGCAGTCCCTCCAGTCCAGAGCGCGATCTGTTGCCAGCTTGCACATTTGTCAGCGGTCGCGGCAGGAAGGTACTATGAAACACAACAGGCAACCGTCCAAACGTGCCAGGCAAAATAGTAGCTATCTGTGGCACTGGCAGGAGACGGTGCTCCGCGATGTTGGCCTCTCGGCCGCGGTCGGCCTCCTCCAGGCGTGCCAGAGGCGGCACAGGGAGAGAGTGGGGCGGGAGCTGAGAGGACCAGGCGGCAGCGGCGGTCTTAGAAAGAGAGAGGGAGAGGGAGAGACAGAGAGAGAGAGAGAGAGAGGGAGAGAGAGGCAGCGAGGGAGTCGTGATGCCATCACCTGGGGCGGAGCCGGGGAGAGCAGGTGCGCCGCCCGGACGACTCGGGGCCGACGGGGGCAGCGCTGGCGGGCCCGGGTGCCGATTCTCGGGCCCACGTCGCGCATGCCGGCCGGAAGTGGTGGGACCCATGGACGTTGGCGACGCTGCCCCGCGAGCGTCCGAGCTCCTGACGGGTCGTCGCCGACAGGCAGGCGGGCTCTCCCTCTCTCCCCAGCCAGCCCTGCTGGAGCTGCCGGAGGCACCTCCTGGCGCCCCTGCGCAGTGCGGGCAGGACGTCTTCAATCGAGCGCCCCCGAGGGGGCAGACACCGCTGCCCCCCTGCTCTTGGAGCCGGGGAGGGCCCCGACAAGCCGCCTGGACTGAGGAGGAGGAGGAGGAGGAGGAGGAGGAGGAGGAGGAGGAGGAGGAGGAGGCAGGTCACTCGGGTGCTGCAGATCCCGCAGGTCCTGCAGAGGTAGCCAGATTTCACAGGTCTCGCAGGTCCCAGAGGGCCATCTTTTGCCCGTCCCGCCCGACATTTGAGTTCGCATTCCCACTCTTGGGGATTCTTGCGATCCTCTGGAGCGGGGGCCGTCTTGGGGTCTCCTTGGGCCGTTTTGGGGCCGTCCTGGAAGCCCAGGCCTCTTGGCCCGTCTGCGGCAATCGAAAGCTCGATGAGGCGGTGACGTCAAAACCCTTGAAAAACCAAAGGCAAATCTACGAACTTGAGCCTGTGCGGATTTTCTTGGGGCTGTCTGGGACTATCGTGGGGATTTCCTCAGGCATTCTGGAGACTCTCTTCGAGACACCTTGGGGCGTCCCACGGCTTCCGCCCGGACTCCTGTGCCCTGTTGAAGCGCCCTTGGGGTTCCTTGGGGCGCTCCGGGGGCGATCTCGAGGGTTGGAAGGGCGCCCTCGTCGGGAGCTCTGGCATCCGGGGTACTTTTCGCCCTGGGACAACCAGGGAAGAAACACGAATCATGTAAATCTCTTTCCGGAGATTCTAGCCCGCCTTTGACCGTTGGGCCGGCGAATATCCATATCCAATGCGTCTTGGATTTTCGGGCTCCCTTCACAGGAGGCCCGGGACGCAGTGGATATGGATAAGATCTACTTTCTAGCGGGGCCTGGTTTTTTATCCGTATCCATTGCGTGTCGGATTTTCGGTATCCCAGCCCCTGTGGGTATGGATATAAAGCTTGCCCGCCCCTGCGTTTGCAAATGGGCGCAGCGTGTGCTTGAATGGGTCCGCCGCAGGCCCTGCTGTTCGCAAGGTCTCGGTTCCCGCGTCTCTCGCCCCTTCTCTGCCCGAGGACGCGGAGGACGAGGATGCCCCCGAGGCAGCCGGGGGGCTTGTGGCAAGAGCTTGAGCATGCCGGTTTTGCCTGCCAGTCTGTCGTTCGAGTGCTCGTCGGAGCGTCCTTCCACAGACTGGTCTGTCTGCCTGTCTGTCCGTCTTTCTCGCAGTCTGCTCGTCTGCCTGTTCATTCGCTTGTTTGCTAGGTCTTGTTTGTTTTCTTGTTTGTTCTTGTCTTTGCTTGCCTGGGGAGCTGTTTGTGCGCTTGCCTGCTTGAATGCTTGCGTTCTTACCTGCCTGTCTGACTGCTTTCCTGTTTGTCCGCATGCCGCACCTCCCCGTCTGTCTACCTCTTAGTCTGTGTTGTTTGCCTGCCTGCCCGCTTGCCTGCCTGCTGCTTTTCTGCCTGCCAGCTTGCCTGTCTGCTTGCCTGTTTGCTTATTTGCATGCCTACATGCCAGGCCTCCTTCCCTGTCTGCCTGTCCGTCGTTTCGTCTGTCTGCCACAACTCGGGTGGAGAGTTCAGCTATATGATTCAAATGATTCAGTATCTTGGCCTAAGAATGCGCTGTGCGCGGCGCGCTGGAGCCGACCAGCTTGTTTGCTGCCTTTGGAACAGATCTGTGTGTGTACCTGACTGCTCTACACCCATCGCACTCATTGTGCAGTGTACGACGTTTGTTCACTGCGCTGTCGACAGTGCTCGGCCGCAATTCGCACTTCCATCTGCTGCTCGCGCTTGATGACCCTCTGCGCCGCTGACTTAAAACAAGGGTCTGCCTGTTCTGGTCTTTACTTGTGAATCTGAGCACGCCCGAGTCTTGAATCGGCAACACCCCAACATACTTATACTATATGTGCGTCGCCCCCCCAGGGGCGACGCGCGCACCGAGAACTCTTATAGTATATGCGTCGTGGCGGGCGCTTTCTGGCCACACCGCTCGGGAAACGATATACTACAAGATGGGTATACTATATGTTCAGGTCGTACGCGCGCCTCCAAGGAGGACATATAGTATTAGTATGTTTTTGTGCGTCCCATTGAATCACGTTCGTTCCACGCACCAGGGCGGAGCACGGCGCTTGGCCGCTGTTCCTCGGGACGTCAACAACTGCGGGGGTTGGCGCGGCCTGCCGCTTGCTCCGCAGTGTTGGGGATCCTCCTGCTTCTCCGTCACCGCTCGTGGGCGAGCCCCGAACGCGTGCAGATGCCTCCGGCGTCGGCGTGGACGGTCCTGGCACTGGCGCGTTTCCATACTTGGCAACCTTCGATCTCGTACGAACGCATACTGGCTGCTCCTGGTATCGGATTGCGCTTCGGAAGGGTTGCAGACGTGAGCTGTTGTACATGAGTGCGATAAGTCTGTATGTCTTATCGTTCGTGGTCTATGTGACCCGGCTGTCTGCGTGTCCGTCCGTCCGCCAATCTGTCTGTCTTGTCTCTGCTTGTGTGGGTCAATCTGTTTGTTTGTCGGTCCGACTGCTTGTCAGTGTGGTAGTTTCATATGTGTGTTTCTCAGTTTGCGGATTTCAGTACCCTTGTTGCCAGGATTTTGTTCTAAGGGGCACCAGTGTTTTGACAGTCCTTGTCAGACCTTCTTGATTTTGCCAAGATTTGTCTAGGAAGGTATGCTTAGCATGTTGGGGTAGCCAGGCCTAGGGCACTGGAACTGCCAGGCATCGCTTGGTATTGCTTACTCCAGGCAGTCATGGCCAAGCTGGTGGTCATCTTGGTGGCCAGCCAGGCTGATCTAGGTATTCACAGATACGGATTGGCCAGCCGTTAGCCTCTGCCTTCCCCAGGTATCACTCTAGGGCATACTCGATGAAGCAAACTGCGCGGCGATTGCAGGACAGAGCGAGTGAGTCAAAGAAGGCACTGATCTTTGGCTTGTCCGTCTTGAAGGTGGTTGATCGGCCAAGGCTGTTTTGAACTTGGTGTCGCGCTGACTTGAGGCCCGCGATTCTATTGTCTGATTTGAGGTGTTGTGCGAGGAGCCGCTGCGCACCCGTTGTGCTGCAAGAAGGAGCCGTTTTCATCTTGGGCAAGCGTCTACCCATCACCCCTCGTTTGCTCAAAGTAAGTGTTTTTACATTCCCAGGTTCTGATCTACTCTAGGCGCCCTCATGTTTGAAGACTCGGATTGCTTTCCCTTATCTTTTCCTTTCAGTGGGCGGGCGGAAAGGCGATCTACTCTCAACGCCCTCCTGCGTCGAACTTGTACCCACCTCTTCCGAACAATGTGCATCCTCCCCAGAACTCAGCTCATGTTTCAGAAATGAGCTGAGTTCTGCATGTATGTATGTGTATATCGGTATAAATGTGTATATATCTATATATATATATATATATATATATTCAGCAGAGCCCCCGACCCTTTTCCCGGGGGTAGTTTTTTTGGCCCCGATTAGTTTCTGATGGTCCCGGGGCCTGATAGCCGCCCCAAGCGACCGAATTCGAGGAAGAACGACCTGATTGAAACATGCATTTCTTATTGGAGTCCTAGGAAACTGTAATCTAGAACCCAACTTCATGCTTCCAACCCTGTCTTCCGAAAGACGTCAACTTCTTTCTGCGCCGCCATCAGCGTTGCTGTCAGCGTTGAAGTCGCCGTCGCCGTTGCCGTCCTCGTCGTCGTCGTCGTCGCCGTCGTCGTCGTCGTGGTGGTCGTCGTCGTCGTCGTAGTTGTCGTCGTCGTCGTCGTCGTCGCCCGTCGTCGTCGTCTTTGTCGTCGTCGTCGTCGTCGTGGTCGTCGTCGTCGTCGTCGTCGCCGTTGTCGTCGCCGTCGTCGTCGTTGCCGTCGTCGTCGCCAGCCCTGCCCGTTTCGCGCCCAGGTGCCCCTCGCGGAGCTCCTCGAGGCCCTCGAGCTGGGCGACGACGACGACCGGGTGCTCCCCGGCCTCGCGGCCCCGAGGACGACCAACCAGTGAGACTGGCCAGCTCGGGCCAGGCTTAAGTCGGGCATGTCTCTCTACAGGAGGAATATTCAAAGATAATTATATCATTGATGGAATACCAGAGCTTGTCGTTCTAAGCTGCTGTCCCCAAGCATCAGATGTCTCAAATACTCAACTCTACAGGAATATTCAAGGATATTCGACTTTTCGACTACTGTTACTTCTCCTTGATTTTTTTTGTATCGTTTTTATGGTTTCTCCTCAAACCCGCCTGTAGGAGGACATGCCCGACCTCAGGCCAGGCAGGCTCGGGGGCGGCCAAGTCCCAGACCCCCTCGCGTCAGCATCTCGAAGGAGGAACAGTCGGCCGCGCGCAAAGGGAAGTAGGGGGAGGGGTGAAGGCTTCTTAGAAGCACCCCTGCTTCGAAGAAGCCTTGCCCCCCTCCCCCTGCCCCCTCCTTGTGCGCGGCCTAAAAGGTATGCGTACCGCTACCCTCCCCTCGTTTTCCCCATTTTGTGCCTCCTTGGAGGCTCTCGTCGCCACCGCTGGATTCGCCTCGAAGTTCTGGTCAGAACGCACCCCAGAAGAGGTCCGGGGAGTAGGGGTATCGGTACCTTAGTTCCCCCAGTATTGTTCAACCGGTCCCGATCCTGATCCCCATCCACATCCTGATCCCCACCATCCCAACACGCCAGTTGGGGATTTGCCTTTTTCGAAACTCGAAGGGAGCAGCCTATGTCCCCATCTAGGGAGATCAACTGGCCAGTGGGGCCCAGGCCACGCCTGTGGGGATAGGGATCGGTTAAGCGATGCTCATCGGGTCTTGAAAAACATGGCGGGAGGTTTTTCTAAGCTTTCGGCTGCTGGGTTCCCTTACCGGCCTTCGGGGCAGTGAAACAGTGAGTCCGGATTCAAAGCGGGTCCCGGGCAACGCGTCCAGACCTTGGCTGCCGCCTTGGTACGCTGGTTTTGAAACGTACTGCGTGCCGTGCGCACTACGTACCGTGTTCAGAACGTCCGTGGGACCACACTGCGTGTTGGGTCGGCACGTGTTGGCCCACGTCTTGGCTAACGCATCGCGCCAGACCTGGGTTTTCAGTCTACGTGCTGAGCTCCGTGTCAAGACGCTGCGGGTTGCGTATTTCCCCAATCAGAGCTTGCCTCTGTAGGGGTCCTAGCGGATTCACATGGTTAGGTTAGGTTTGCCGCCGATTTTCGCTGCACGCCCGGGTGCCCGGGTGCCCAGGGGTGCCCGGGTGCCCGGGTGCCCGGGCGTGCCCAGGGGTGCTCGGGTGCCCGGGGGTGCCCTATAGCCCTATATCCCAATAGCCCTATAGCCCTACAACTCTATAGCCCTATAGCTCTATAGCCCTATAGCTCAATAGCCCTATAGCCCTATAGCCCCCTAGCCCTATAGCCCTGATTGTGGTTTTCCTCCCGTATCATGCGTATGGATGCAGCCAAGGCCCAGACCTGGGGGTCCACGTCATGAACAAACCAGAATGTCGGGGGTCTCCGGAGGGGTGTGATTCGGCGTCGCCCAAGCATACCAACTGCGCGCGTCGTCCCCAAATGGGGCGACGCCCGCGCCGAGACATCGTATAGTGTAAGCCCCGTGGCGGGTGCCTTGTGGCCATACCGATCGGGAAACGGTCTACTATACGATCTATTTACTAGTGCGCCTCCAACGTCAGTCAGCACATAGCACTAGGATGTCCTTCTACGTTCCAGTGATGACGGTGGGGGTTCTCTGAGATCCGGGCGTCGCTATGTTGGCACTCCGGGCGTTTTTGCCCGCTTTTGGGTCCCAGGGGCACTCGCAGATCGAGCTGGCTTGAGAAATACCGTAGGAAGGTCGGGTGCAGGGTCCCTATTGAGTTCTCATGGCTGGGGCCATGAGATCCCCCCTCTTCTTTTTCTCTCGGTGGCAAAATCCGAACCCTAATCTCGCCGATCAAAGATTCAGGCAACCCGATGGGCGGCGGGGGTAGGGTTCGGAATTCGTCGAGCACGTGGTGAAATTCGAACCCTATCCCCGCATCTTCTCGATCCGGGAGAGTCGACGGCTGGTGGTCCGGGTTAGGGTTCCCATGTCCCCACCTATTCTTCTTCAACGCGTCTCGGACGCCCCCCCTCTTGGGCGCCCCCACAGATCGACGCCCTCTGTCGCGGCCGCCCTTTAGTGCTGCTGCTGTCGCCCTCTGCCTCTCCCCCTCTCCCCCCCCATCATCCCCGCCTCCCTTTGAGATGAGGAATACATGTCAATGCCGATGCTCGTCCAGGAGAGCCCTCGTTGCCACGGCTGGATTATCCCTGAGATTTCTTCAGAACCCCTCGCGGTCTGGGTTCTCGAATTCCTCTAGTCTCTAGTCTCTATTTCTTAGTCTCTCCCTCTCTCGCTCTCTCTCCCTCTCTCTCTCTCTCTTCCTCTCTCTCTCTCTCTCTCCTCCCTCCTCTCTCCATCTCGCTATCTCCCTGTCTCTCGCTCTCTCACTCTCTCTCTCACTCTTTCTCTCTCTTCCTCCTTTTGAGCGGCGCTTCGTGCGCGTCAGCCTCATACTGTGACTTAGACAAGTGTTGCCGTGTGCACTTGACCTTTCAGGAAAAAAACGTGTGCTGTTCGGACGCGTTCTTGTGGGTTGCGGCGTTTTTGGATGTGGTTGCGGATATTCATTTCGGACAATGTTGCTGAAATTCTCCAGTTGCTCGGAACAGGATCCGCCCTGCCACAGGTCAGCTGCGCTGACGTGCGATTTCGCACTCTTATTTGATTGCGCGGACCTGTGCTCTATCTGTCTGCCTGATTGTGCGGGTCAGGTTGGGCAGGTACAGCTATTGGAGCATCAGCGCGAGCAAGTGTATGATTAGCAATGGGCAGGATGAGGCGGATGATGTTGACGATGATGGTGCTGCTGATGATGATGCTGATGCTGATGTTGCTGATGATGATGACGATGACGATGATGATGGTAATGCTGCTGATGATTCATGATGGTGATGATGATGATCATGATACTGCTACTTGTGATGATGCTGCTGATGATGCTGATGCTGGTGATGGTGATGGTAAACTTGATGACGACGATGATGCTGATTATGGTTCTGATTATTCTTATGCTGATAAAGATGCTGCTGATGATGATGATGCTGAGCATGCTGCTGATGACGTTAATGTTGTGCATGGTGGTTATGGTGATGATGGTGATGCTGATGATGATACTGATGATGGTGAAGATGATTGCGATGATGTTGTTGATGATTATGGTCGCCCTGCATGGCTGATGCTGATGCTGATCCTGATTATGGTGCTGACGATGCTGACGGTGTTGATGACGATTGTGATTCTGATGATGCGGATTCTGACTTTTACAATAGTAATGGTGATGCTGCTGATGATGATTGTGATGATGCCGATACGTGTGTTTATGATGATGGTGATGATGACGGTGACGGCGAGGGTGATGTTTTTGATGATGGTGATAATCATGGCAACCTTACTAGCGGTGATGATGATGCTGATGTTGATGATGATGACGATGATGGTGATGGTGACGGTGACTCTGATGATGAAGACGACGATGATGCAGATTATGATAATGACGATTCTGGTGGTGATGATTGTGCTGATGATGCCGATGTTGATGTTGATGATGGTGATGGTGAGGATGATGATGATGATGATGACGATGATGCTGCTGTTGATTGTGGTGATGATGATGATGATGGTGAGGATGAGTACGATTCGCAAACTGATGCTGATGGTGATGCTGATTCTGTGGATTACGGTGCTGGCGATGGTGATGACGATGATGCTGCTTACGGTGATGATGGTGTTGCTGATGATGAGGACAATGATGGTGATGGTGGTGATGCAGATGATGATAATGATACTGATAATGAGAATGGTAATGATGATCAGGATGCTGACGATGAAGATTCTGATGATGAGGAGGAGGATGCGGATGATGATGCTGCTGCTGATGCTGCTGCTACTGCTTACGACGCCGACGATTATGCTGATGACGATGCTGATGACGATGCTGATGCTGCTGATGACGATAAGGGTGCTGTTGATGACGCCGATGAGGTTGATTCTTGTAATGATGGTGGTGACGATGGCGTTGTTTCTGATGATGATAGTGATGGCGCTGGTACTGATGACGGTGATGACGATGCTGATGATGCTGATGACGATGGTAAGGATGCTGATTACGATGCTGATGGTGATGATGACGATGCTGCTTATGCTGATGCTGATGATGATGAGGACGTTGGTGGTGATACGGGTTATGGTGATGCGGTTTATGTTTATGGTTCTGAGGGTGATACTGGTAATGCTGCTGATGCTGACGATGCTGATGAAAGTGGTGATGCTTATGATGCTGATGATGGTGCTCACGGTGATGATGATGGTGGTGAGGATATCGTTGATGACGATTGTGGGACGATGATGATGTCGGCGGTGATGGTGATGATGGTGATGTTGGTGATGCTGCTGCTGCTGCTGATGCTGCTGCTGCTGATACTGATGATGAATATGATGTCGAAGATGATGTTGGTGATGGCGATCGTGACCCTGATAATGCTGTTACTGCTGCTGATGCTGACGATGGTGTTGATGATGATGGTGATGGAGGAGGTGGTGGTTGTGGTGATGCTGCTGGTGATGATAATGATGCTGATGCTGATGATGACGAGGATTATGAATATGACGATGATAACGGTTACGATGCTGCTGATGATGATGTTGATGACGATGACGAAGACGATGATGACGTTGCTGATGCTGCTGATGATGCTGCTGGTGATGCTGCTAATGATGATGCCGATGATGCTGATTGTTTTGCCGATGATGATGATGATGCTGCTGATGATGAAGATGAAGATGACTATGAATATGCTGATGATGCTGCTGAGGATGATGATACTGATGCTGCTGATGATGATGATGCTGATGATGATGATGATGGTGATGATGATGATGCTGATGATGCTGCTGCTGCTGATGATGATGTTGATGATTATGAGGAGG